ATGTAATTAAGGTAACTATAGTTGGCAGTTTCTCTTTCTTTTCAGGAATTTGCTCAATGGATAGTCTTCTTCCTACATCTCCTCCAGCTTTATGTGCAGCCATTATAAAGTGGTTGACAAAATAAAACAAAAAAGGAGTTATAGTAGGAGGAAAAAGGGAATTGTAGTTATAAGCAGTTACCAGCAGATGGCAGCCGAAATCAAGAAAAGGGAGAGTCTGCAATGGAAATGCTGAGCTGATTATAATATTCCTAATCATAGCCAGTCTAATCATGTAAAGTAAGATAAGAGGTTTTAGGGGAAGACGAATTTTGTATGAAATATGAAGGCATGGAATTCTGGGAGTTGAAGTCCACAAGTCATAAAAGAGCTATCGTTCCCCATGAAAACACTGCATTATAAACAAGCCAACGATATCAATCATTTATCTCCTCTCAATCTGGTTAGATACAGTGTTTCTCAACCTTGACAATTTTAAGGCATGTGGACTTCAACTCCCAGAATTCCACAGACAGGTTGAGAAACACTGGGTTAGAAGATGTGGTGAAAGTCACACTGTCATCTCTGAGTGTGGCTTGAATAAGAAAAATAGGCTGAGACTCAAGCAAAACAAGAAGGAATGGTTGGTTAATACAGAGACCGAAGTTACCAGGACTGGACCATCTTTAATTCTTGATGGGATTGTCCTTCCCTAGACAAAAAGTCAAAATATCTTCATGATAGTTTGAAACATGATTTAATCAATAGGTTAGGTTCATACAATGAAATACACTGCAGCAACACAACAGAATAACAGAGATGGAAAGCAACTTGGGGGTCTTCTAGTCCAAGCCCCTGTTCAGGTAGGAAATCCTATACCATTTCAGACAAAGAGTTGTTCAATTTATTCTTAAAAACACCCAGTGTTGGAGCACCCAGAACTTCTGGAGACAAGCTAATCTACTGATTAATTGTTCTCACTGTCAGGAAATTTTTACTAGGTTCTAGGTTGCTTCTCTCCTTAGTTAGTTTCCATCCATTGCTTCTTGTCCTGCCTTCAGGAGAATAGACTGACTCGCCCTCTTCTTTGTGGCAGCCCCTTAGATATTGGATCAATCTGTGGGGCATGGCCATGAGGGGTTTGCAACTGGGTCACAGAAATAGCTGGCGAGTGCATGTGCGCACTCCATTTAAGTGAGTGGCAGGCCTCTGATGGTGAAATGCTGGCCGGAGGGGCACCGTATAAGTTACCACGAAGAAGACACTGGCAAGGCAGGTGTCAATTCATGGACAGCCTGGCTGCAACAGTAAGTGGGTACAAGGACACGTGGGACAGCTCCACCCCCCACCTTGCCCTAGCTTGATTTTTAGGCATGCACCTTGCCCCAAACTAGGGCTTATTTTGGGGGTAGAGCTTATATTAGGCCCACCCCAAAAATCAAGCTAGGGCTTATTTTCGGGGTAGGTCTTACTTTCGGGAAAACACGGTAGGATAATTCCATGTTGCTTCTCTCCTTGATTAGTTTCCATCCATTGTTTCTTGTTTTGCCTTCTGGTGCTTTGGAAAATAAGTTGACCCCCTCTTCTTTGGGGCAGCCCCTCAAATACTGGAATACTGCTATCGTGTCCCCCTCGTCCTTCTTTTCTCCAGACTGGCCAAACTCAAATCCTGCAGCCCTTCCTCATGTGCTTTTGTCTCCAGGCCCTTCATCATCGTAATTCTTCTTCTCTGCACTTTTTCCAAAGTCTCAGCATCTTTTTGGTAAGGTGGTGACCAAAACTGGATGCAGTATTCCAGATGTGGTCTTAATAAGGATTTGTAAAGTGGTACTAATAATTTGCATGGTCTTGATTCTGTGCCTCTGTTTATACAAACCAGGTGTCAGAACCCATTTTATATTGGGGGGGGGGGAATTTTATTTTATTTCTTTCTATTCCTTGCTAAGGGTTCTGCCATTCTCCTGAAGGGGAGGGGGAGGATGCTCCTGGCTGTCTCTTTGTTTCTCTGTTTTGCTAGAATGTATCTCTCAATGCTGCAAATATTGTATATCCTTGCTTTGACAATATGCAGAACTGTCTGGTATTTTTGGGGTTAATACAGAGCAGAAGGGGGTCGGGGCAAAGCCCGGGGAAAGAAAGAGGAAGGAAACCTTTGACCTTCACACTAATTGGATAATGTGATATATGACAGCTAATTTAGGGAGGGAACATGCTGATAATTTAACTGCTCAGAGGAAGAGAACTTAGATCTTAGCATAAAGCCTCCATTATGCCTGTGCCGACATTTTGTAACAATAAATGACTTTTAGGAAAATCAATGCCTGGAAGTTCTTTGAAGTGTTTCATTAGCCGGAACCATAACAGTATCTTTTCCGCTATTACTGCATACTTGCTCTTTGAACTGTCTCCCCCTTGATGCTACTTTGGGGTGAGAAAGGAATGTGCCTCTGGTTGGATTATATTCTATTCCAGTGGTGGCGAACCTATGGCACGCGTGCCAGAGGCGGCACTCGGAGCTCTCTCTGTGGGCACATGCGCCGTTGTCCCGGCCCCGCCTTTCCCTGCAACCCCTTCCTCACAAGCAGCCTGCCCGGAGGAGAGGCTCCCCCAGGCACGGCCCACGCAAAGCAGCACAGCCAAGCACATGGCAGAAAGGCAGCAAGGGCAAGACTCCGCCCTTGCACTCCATCATGTGCAGACGATGCTGCGGGGTGCGGCCGCCATGGCACTGCAAGGCTTCCTGGGCGATCTGTGGTGAATGGCCCTGTGGGTGGACAGAGAGGGGGGCACAGTGGGGCCGAGGCGGGGGGCAGGGTGGTTTTTGGGCACTCAGTCTCTAAAAGGTTTGCCATCACTGTTCATTGCTTGTGTTTGCATTATATTGAACTCCAGTATGACATGGTCACTCTCACCCTAGGTTCTGGCAACTTCAACTCGTTCTATCACTTCTTGTCTATTAGTAAGAATTAAGTCCAGTATAGTTTTACATCTAGTTCCCTCCTCCACCTTTTGGATGCTAAAGTTGTCAGCTAAATTGGTTAGGAATCTGTTTGATCTCACACTTGCTGCAGTGTTTTTCACCCTGTCGATACCAGGGTAGTTAAAGTCTCCCATTACTACTGTGGTATGTTTCCTACATACATTTGTTAATTGATTAGCAAAGATTTCATTTATTTCTTCTGCTTGATTGGATGGCCTGTGGTATACTCCTATAGCAATGTCATCCCCCCCCCTCCTTTTGGATTCTAGGAGGTTTTCATCCTTGTTTTGTGCATTTCTGTAGAAATATAGTTATCTTTTATATATAACACAACTCCGCCTCCTCTTTTTTTAGGTCTGTTTCTTTTGAATAGTTTGTATCCTTCCATCAGCACATGAGTTTCATCCCGCCAGGTTTCAGTAATGGCAACTATATCGCATCTGCCTTCATGAACTAATACGTCCAGTTTTCCCTATTTGTTCCCTAAACTTTGAGCGTTAGTGTGTAGGCATTTGAGTCCGTTTGGGGTCTTTGGTATGTTTCTTATATCTCCTACTTTGTAACTAGGATTTCCATCCTTTCCATCACTCTCTACTTCATTGTGTTTTTCTTTTTTTAATTTCTTCTTTCTCTTTACTCCCTACCTTCTTATGTAATTGGTTATCTAATGGTTTTTTGCTTGGAATTAGGTTCTTGAAGATTGGCTCCCCTTCCACCTCAATTTTAGTTTAAAGCTCTTTTGAAAAGATGAGCCAGCCGTTTTCTGAATATATTCTTTCCAGTTCTTGTGAGGTTCAGTTCATCCTTTGCCAGTAGCCCTTCATGTAGGTAATACAGACCATGGTCTAGAACAGGGGTGTCAAACTCAATTTCACTGAGGGCCGCATCAGCATTGCAGTTGCCTTGGGGGGGGGCAGGTGGGTGTGGCCAGAGTGGGTGCAGCCTACGGGGTGGGCATGGATGGAGTGGGTGTGGCCTACTGGGTGGGCATGCCCAGTTCTACATCATTCGCATCAAGGGTGCCTATGGGGGCCTGGGCAGGAGTGGGACAGATCTGAGGGTCTCTGGCAGAAGGGGGTGGGACCGGGGCAAGTGCCAAGGCATGGTCCACTGGGGCAAGTGCCAAGATGGCCACCACAAAATTGTACATTGGCTCTTGGCTGGCCTGGGCCAGGGCCAAGGCAGCAGGGGCTGCTCCCTCACTGTTTCCAGGATGGCTTTGTGGGCTGCATCTGGCCCCCAGGCCTTGTGTTTGACATGTCTGGTCTAGGAAGCTGAAGTTCTGTTGACGATACCAGTTTTTAAGCCAGTGGTTCATTTCTAAAATCCTTTGCTCCCTCATTGGATGGTGGCCTTTTGTTGGAAGTATAGATGAAAACACATGTGCAAACGGTATAGGAGAACTTTTTCTTTTGTCCCCAAACCTCCCATTTTTCTTTGTTCACTAATCAGTTGCACTTGCGTTATTTTGGAAATGGCTTGTCTGCCTCAAATGTTTGCAGTCAATGATCTTGGGGTTTGGGTCTGTGTCACACTTCCAGGCAGCACCCTTGCATTCAGGGGTTCGCTCCCTTAATTGCAATGCCTTCCTTCCCCTCTCCTGTTACTGTTGTCTGGTTTCAAGCAGGGCTGTGTAGCGAGTCAACCGTGATAACAAAAATGAATTGTCACGATAGTTGATCCAGTTCTGCAAGGAAAAGGAGGAATATCTTTGTTGTATAAACATAATGTGATTGTCTTGGTTAGTGAATTAACCTGTGTTCCTGGATTCATTTGATCTTTTAAAAACACAAATTACCCTTTTGGCTACGTTCGTATATTGGGATAAACCACAGAAACACTTGTACTCTAACCAAGCCTAGCCTTTCAGCACTTAAGAAACGCTGTGGATTCTTCCCTGACATTTTGATAGAGGAGAACTTCACCCATCAGCTCAAACCCACACAATCATTGCAAAGGGGAGCAAATAGTTAATGGATTATGGATTATGAAAATGGATTATCGCTGATTTATTTTTCCTTCATTTCTTTTTTGTCTATAGGAGCTCGTGCCTGTTTGGGGGAACTCCTGGCCAAGACTGAATTCTTCAACATTTTTACCAGGCTGTTGAGGCAATTTAGGTTGGAGCCACCAGAAGGAGTGGAAAAGCTCAGTGAAAAATCTATAATCGGGGTCTCTGTGCATCCCTCTCCTTATAAGATTTGTGCTGTCCCCCGTATCAGGATAGCATAATATGGGCAATTATCAAGAGCGACTCATTTGTTAATGCTACAATCTCTCCTTTGTTCAATATGTTTGTAGATGGATCACCTTTAAGGTCTTGCCGAATGAATCAATTGATGAATCAATCTTTGGATCTTGCTAAATAACACCCTCCCCCCCAGTGTCTCTCAGGATTGGTCCATCCATCTCTAGAAGCAGAAACCTAGGTCTCTCACACTGACTGCTGTAGTTGTTACTGGTGTCTACCTGAGCAATGGAGAAGGAGCTAATGGCATAAGGAAACCTTGCAGGAAAAGCCCTATTGCAAGGGCTCATGGGATATTAGGCAGTTCCTGGCGAAAGCTTTGCACTTCTGACCAAATTCATGGGATTGTCTTATGTCAGATTTATACAGGAAGTCCTTGAGTTACGACCATAACTGAGCCCAGAATTTCCATTGTTAAGTGAGACATTTGTTAATGTCGTCAAATGGGCCATTTTACGACCTTTCTTGCCACAGCTGTTAAGTGAATCACTACAGTTGTTAAATTAGTAACATGGTTGTTAAGTGAATCAGGCTTCCCCACTGACTTAGTTTGACAGACGGTTGCCAAAGGGAATTACATAACCCCGTGGCACTGCAACCGTCATAAATATGAGTCAGTTGTCAAAGAAGTGGTCCTTCCTTTGCAAAGTAGCAAAGTCATTCTAATCATCTAAATCCAACATCAAAGTTGCATCTGAATTTTGATCATGTGACTGTGGGGATGCTGCAGTGGTCAGAAGTGTGAAAAATGATCACAGGTCACTTTTTTCGGTGCCATTATAACTTTGATTGGTCACTAAGTGAACTATTGGTAACCCAAAGGGCTACAGTTCTTAAATATTGCTGCCATTTAAAGTAGCCCCATATTTCTTCAATCTATTTTCAGAATCCCTGCTCCAGCCCATTTTAATTTATTACTTTATTACATTCCAGCTTTCACAACGATTGGCTGTGATCCTTGCTCACAACTGCTTATGGAAAACTCTCATCTGATAATCAGTTTGACACTGCATACAGTGGTGCTCTCTTTTTAAAAATCTAAACGGCTTTCCTACACTTTCAGTCAGAATGACCCTCCTTTTATACTTATACTGAAGGAAAGTGTTAAGTCCTTTGATCATGGGCGAATGATGAAGACTCATTGTGCAGCTAACAGCTCCTTATTTGTTTAACAGCAAAACCACAACAACGAGCAACGGCATGCAGGCCTCTCTTTATCTGCCCAGAGCCCCGGACACAATGGCAACATAAAGTGGAGCGCTTTTGTGCCTTGCGCATGTGCGCAAGACTGGAGCCACTCAGTCTGGTCCTGGGCAGCTTTTGGGCAGCTTTTGGACCAAAGTAACGTCCTGAACCTGCTTTTTCAGGCTCAGGACACAACAGAAAGGTTCATTTATATTAACACCATAACTTTTACAGAACAATTACAATTACAATGACACCTACCCCACCTTTTTTTGGCATGAACTGAAGCACAAAGCAGAAAGAAGATGCTCTGATTTTTGCTGCTACCCTTTGCACCCAGGCAAACTGTAATCACAACTGTATCACAAATGTAATACAAAAAAGAGGGTCTTGTTTGTTACATGTTATGATCTCTGCCGTGTTCAACATGTTTGCAGTTTGATCACCTTCAAGGTTGCCTCTTCAGATCTTGCTGAATGACTCCTCCCAGACTGAAGTGAATGAAGTGTCCTATTGCAAAAGGCTCCTGGACATATCCTGGAGAAAGCAAGTGGGAACTGTATACTTAAATGTCTGGGAAAACAGCTAGGTCTTCAAAGTCTTCTGGAATGCAATTAGGTTGAGAACCACACAGCTCTCAGAAGGAACCTTATTCATGAGGACAGGTTCCACAAGAAAGAAGGCATACTTTCTGGATCCCTTACGGCATTCCTTAATTAAAAAGAGTGTCCCAACATTGTTGGCCTGTTCTGGCTGGTCAGAAATCTTGGAAACCAGGTGGTCCATTTAATAACCTGACCCAGAATTCATTGAGTTCAACTTTCTGGTTTCTCTATATGAATAAATGTGCACATCTCATAATGTTACCACTTGTGGTTTTAGTTGCTTCTTCACGTTTTAAAACAACAGAAACTTTAGGAGATCTCAAATGATAAAAATCTCATTCTCAGCATTAATTGTAATTGCAGACTTAAGCCAATTAGGTGACCTTGGGCCAGTTCTCTTCACAGGGTTGATTTTGTGGGGAAAATAGCAGGAAGAAGGGGTATTAGTTTTATGTTCTCCCCCTAGAGTGGCTTATAAAAATAATAAAGGTGGGATATAAATAAATAAAACAAAATCCTGAAATTTTGCAAGAAAGCTATAGGATTTCTAAATACCTATTATTAATTCTTCTTTTGTTATGATACGTGAGAACTTAGCAGTTTCATCAGCAAATATTAGTATTAACATTTGTTATTTTCTGAGGGGTCCTTGGTGCTCTCTAAGTTTGGTTTTGCAAGAAAAGAGCCAAGCTCAGGGAACACCAGGGACCCCTCATTTCAACCCCGAGCTACAAATATTTCCCTTTATTAATTAATTTCTGTACATCTCATTATGTTTCTGTGAACTTAAGCTGCTTGGTTAATGAACGATTCAGTATATTTTAGATTGTACAAAATTAGAAAATGTATTGGGCATGGCTACATCCACATGACATATCTTATTCATCACCAATCTTTATTATGATCACAGACCGGAATAAAAGTGAAACACTGAACAAAATGAAAACAGAGCAGAACAGGACAGAATGACAGGATGTGTTACAATTGATGGTGAAAGCATCAATGGGTAACCAAGGTTTGCCTAATTTTATGGACAATATAGCAATAAAAAATATAGCTACAATAAAAAAATTGCATCATACTGATCAGATAGTAGTAGTAATAAAACACTGGAATTTCCAGGATATTTTGTCAATTAAGGTATTATAAAATGAATCTGTGAGTCCTTATAGATGGTGCAATACAGTAGGACACGAGTTGTAGTTTCAGTGGTGCCTTGTCCACAGGGACACAATCTCATATAGGACTTTTTATTACTCCTGAAGAACTGCTGGGATGAGCACGTTACAACATGCTAGAGTTAGTGTATTGTTATGTCCCGAGCCTTGCAAACGGCTCGGGCGTTTGCAGGCAGTCCCGGGCAGGTGCAAGGCTGCCCGGGACCAGACAGGCTGTCGCCAGCGCCGTGCGCATGCGCGGGTGCTGGCGCGGGAAAAGTAACACATTTACCTGGGAGTTGCCTATATAAGAGGCTGCGAGCGTTTGGGAAGCTAAGAAGCCATCTACTTGTAAGCTGAACGCAGAATAAAGAAAACTGAGAACTCCAACTGCTTCTCGTGTCTGCTTTGCGCCAAGGACTCAACACTGGCGACGAAGGTGGGATTGCCTTACACCGCCTGGAAAGGAAGAAGTGTAAGCTTACCCAAGTGAGTCCTGAGCGGCGGAACGGCGTCGACTCGGCAGCTGCCCGCCAATCCAGTGCGCATTCGGGGGTAGGCTGGCTGATAGACCCGTCTCCTGAAGATGGCGAAAATCGGAAGGCTTTCGGAGTTCGACGTCTCACATCCAGAACGGTGGGAGTCCTACGTAGCCAGGGTGGAGAACTACTTCAAGGCAAACCAAGTGAGGGAAGAGAGCTTGAAGGCTACCACCCTGCTTTGTGTTTGCGGTCAAGACGCCTTCGACATCGCAGAAAACCTTGCAGCACCTGTTCCAGTAGAGTCTGTCAGCTACGCAGATCTGAAGAAGCTACTGAAGGAGCACTTCCACCCCAAGATGTCCGTCATCGCATGGTGCCACACCTTCGAGCAGAGGGATCAACGGCCCGGTGAGTCGGCCAAAGAATACATCGCCGCATTACGTAAGGCCGCCAAGCACTGCGAGTTCAAAGACCTCGAAGAACGATTGAGGGACCGATTCGTGTGCGGGTTAAGGCATCGAGATCTACAACAGAGACTTTTCGCTAAAGAAGAATTGTCCTACCAAGATGCCTTAAGGGAAGTCACCGCAGAAGAAGCAGCAGGCGGCGCTGTCAAGAACATGCGGCCGATCAGAAACAGTCCAGAGGTTGCATCCGTGCACCAGGAAGACGTCCAAAGAAACTCCGAGGAGGATCCGGACGAGGAAGTCGACCGTCTCCACCCCACGAAGGAAGAAAAACAGAAGGGAAGCTCTTCAGCTCCGCTCAAGTGCATCGGCTGTGGAGGTCGCCACAGGAGAACCGACTGCAAGTTCCGCTCCGCTACCTGCCGGGCATGCGGCAAACAAGGACACATTGCAGCTGTGTGTCTGGGCCGACGAAAGGTACAACCTCAGGAAGAACCGCGCCTGAAAGGTACCAGATTCCCCAGCCAGAATAGGGTAGGGTTTTGCGCTTTGCGAAGAAGCATCCTTAGGACAGGCACACACAAGCCAATTAAGAAAAAGCTGTCACTCAAGGTGAAGCTACAAGGGGTTCCATTATCTATGGAACTAGACACAGGGTCTGCCTTTTCAATTATCTCCTTGCATACATTTAGGAAGATTTGTTCCGGTAGTGGAACTCAGGCCAAGTTAAGGCCTTCTGACATTGTGTTAACAGATTTTCAAAATTCAAGAGTGTGTGTTAAGGGGGAGGCCACCCTTAACGTGCAATACAAGAGTTTTGAAGGTCCACTAGACGTATTAGTAGTAGGGGGTGAACGAACGAGTCTCATAGGACTCGATTGGTTTGAGGCCCTGGGGATACACGTCACAGGACTCAACAGCTTACAAACACTCGACCTACAGGAAGTCTGCAAAGAATTTGCAGATGTTTTCAGCCCCCAGCTGGGCACATTCAAAGGACCCCCTGTGTCCTTAAAGCTAGACCCCACTGTCACTCCCATTAGAATTAAAGCAAGAAGGTCCCTTTTGCTTTAAAGAGTAAAATTGACACTGAGTTAGACAAACTGATTCAACAGAGAATCCTAGAACCTGTTGATTCCAGTCCTTGGGAGACCCCCATTGTCACGCCTCTAAAGGCAAATGGGGACATTCGCATTTGTGCTGACTACAAATGCACTCTGAATAAGGCATTGCAGCAAC